GCGTCCCGGGCTGCGCGCTGCTCCCCGCGGCCCCGTCGCCCCAGCGGCGCGGGCGGGCGCGTCCCCAGCGCAGGTAGGGAGTGGGCTCGGCCGCACAAACTTTGCGAGGATCGCTCCTGCGCTGGAGAGCACAAAGTTTGCTGCCTGCCGGTGGGGCCTCGGGAGGCCGCCGCGTTTGCTGCAAGTTGGGGAAAACGGGGTGCGGGGGGCGGCGCGGGGAGCCGGGGCCACCGCGGGGCAACGAGGCCTGAGTCCGGACCCCTGACTGCGCTCCTTCCCGGCTCGGGCGGCGCCCGGCGAACTAGCGGTGAGGGCGCGGCGGGAGAGCCGGAGGGAGCCGGGCAGAATGGAGGGCGTTTCGGGAAGGAGGATTCAACGCGCGCTTGCAGCTCGCCCCACTGGCTTCGCGGGAGACCCCAGAGAACGGGCTGCAAAAGAGTGACCTGCCAACCTCGGGGTTCGTGAGTGCGGCGCCACCGACATCTAGAACGCCTCTTATCCTCACAGCCCGCCGGGGTGTCCATGAGCAGTGGGCGGGCACAGGCGCCGCAAGAGCTCGGCCCTACGCCTCCGAAGAGAAGGCCTCTGCCTGGTGCTGCGCGCTCCTGCCTCCGCCCTCTGCCTGGGGTCAACTTCCCTGGGCTGGAGAGAGCCCTCCGGCGGCTCTCGATGCGAGGGACAGCGGTGGCCCCCGGGACGACTCCGGGAACCGGCCGGGAGCGCCGGGGCTCAGCTGGTAGCAGGGGCGAAGCCACACAGGGAGCAGGGGAAGGGTCAAGGCGCGACCTCTCTCCTCAGAGGCCCTCCAGGGTTCCAATGGTGCCCGGGCAAAAACAGCGACCCGCGCGGGCCTCTAACATTTGGCGCTAACCTTTCTCAGGCCCCTTCTCCCTCAGCTCCTTTTGAACTCAGCAGGCCAGTGGGGGCACCTGACCGAAGCCGAGCTGCTGCCATGGCCGTGGGGAACCGCGTGGTTTCCGGCAGGTCCTGCTAACGGGTGTATTAAACCCGGGGGTCCCTCGAGGGACGTGGGCCCAGTACGCCGCATCTGTGCAGACGCATTAGTTGATGATCCCTGAAATGCTGACGCTCCTGTCTGCTCTGGGAGGGCAACTCGGGTGCCTCCGCTCAAGGTTGGCCTTTTAGCAAAGGGCACTTGGATAGTTATTCTGGTATTGTATATGGGATAACATGGCCCAGAAAGTACCCCGGTTCCGGGCAGGCGGGCTTCCGCCAAGGCGTAGGTTGTCAGTGGGATGTCTTGGTTGTGCGCCGGGCTGGAGACAGGCAGGAAAGCGCGAGGCTCCTCCTCGGGTGGTCCAGAGCTTCCCCAAACAGAGTGGCCAAGCCAGGCCCGGGCGCAGCTACCCAGGGCCTGAGGGGGCAGGGAGCGGAGGATCAGTGTGCAGAGGCCTGAGAAAGTGGAGTCGGTGAGCTGGATTTCGGGATCATGTAGAAAGGGGCGCCCGCGACAGCCGGACCGGGCCAGTGGGGACCGGGAGCGTCTATTTAGGCATGCAGGCTGGAAAGGAACACAGGAGAACGTTGCAATGATCGTCGAAGAAAGCCCCTGAAACCCCTCCCCCAGAGGCCTCTATGGGCTGGCTGTGCCCGCCCGGATCCGAGGGAGCGCGCGTCTGCTCAGAAGATAAATGGTCGCGTGTTCAGGCGCTGCTCCCTGCGAGCTGTGGCCCGAGTCTCCCGGGAAGCAAACGCGGCGCGCAAGCCTAGGTATGCCGCGCGCTGCGAGCCGGAGCCCTTGGCACTGGCCGCTGGGACCTGGACGGTGGCTTCCTCCCCCGCCCCCTGGGCGCTGACATTCGCCTAGGCCAAGGGAATGGGCTGAGGAAAGGATGCTGAATGCCATCGTTCTATCACGATTCCTGCTCCCTGAGCCTTCAGCTACCCAGGCTTGTGCCCCTCCCTCGTCCGGGCCTCATTACCTGGAGAGAGCGAGTTGTTTGTAAACAATAAATAATGGAAAGTAGGAGGATGTACGAAAAGCGGGAAGGAGTTGGGAGGAGGGAGACTGGGGGAAGGGAGGAGCAGAGGAGGAAGACGGAGAGAGATTGAGAGATTCATTTCTGCCGGAGAAACCCCGGTGGCTAGTTTCTTATTATTTACAGGAAAGTGATATTAGCAATTCAGGTGAGAAAGAAAGAAACAAGGCCTCCACGAAATCAATACAGAATTCAAAAACAATTATTAATGTCATTTGACTCGTGTTCTTTATATATCTCTCCAGGCTACAGACGCTAAACTGTCTGAATAATTTGCATGGAGTGGCTATTCATTATTTCCTACGATTTTCCTTTGCAAGCAGCTCGGACGTGGCCGGCTCCGGTCCAACGCGATCAGCGAACTCCTATTTTCATCTGTAAATTAAAGCAATTACGCAGCAGATATTATATGATGTGTACTGTGGTCTCCAGATACTCATCAATCACCTTCAACTGAGCTGTCAGAGCGGGCAGATTTCGTCTCTGGGAGGCAGGTTTGCAGCTGGGGAGAGGGCGAGAACGTCATCATTAATTAGAGGGTGACCCTGCGGCGATTCACAGGTCTGAACCCAGGAATCTTTCCCAGCAAGTCTGCACAGCGCCGCCGTGCATGGGTCCCCTCCCGGCCGACCGCCGGAGGCCGAGCGGGGCGAGTGCGGCAGAGGCGAGTCCGGCCCCGGAGGGCGGCGGCGCAAGAGGCAGGGAGCGAGTTCGGGGTGGCCGCGGCGCCCCCTTGCCGCCTGCGCGCTGGCCTCTGCTGTGGATTTGGGCAAGGTCCCAGGGCCGGGACTGGCTGGGGAAGTCCTGGGGTGGGCACTCGCCCCCCTCCCCAGACCGCTGCGTGCGCCCCCGGGCCGGGAGTTGTGCAAAACCGACAGGGAAGGGTGCCTCGGCCTGGCGTCCAGCTACCCCCTCCCCCGTTCCTAGCCCCGAAGATCGCCTTGAGGTGCGAGCTTAGCGGGAGGGGCCCCGGAGATGAGTCGGGAAACCTGCTCTTCCAAGCGCGCGGGATGTCTGGCAGTCCCCGGTTTAGCCGCGAGGGGCAGGGGGAGGCTGAGGGAGGGAGGGCCGTGCGCCCAGCAGGAACTTATAGGATGAGGGGGCAGCAGGGGTTTAGGTGTGTTCCCCGGAGACACGGTGGCCGAGTGGCAAAGCCCCGCAGCACTTGGGCCACCGAGCCTTCGAGCAGTGGGCTCCCGGGAAGGCCCCAGGACTCACACACCCGAGGGCATTTTGACCTCCAGATACGTACACTCTTGGAGCCGCGTCTGGCTCTGGAACTCCCTCGCGGTGTAGGGTTCGAGCCGATGGAAGGCCTTTCTGACTCCGGGCGAAACAATAGTCGGGCCTCGCTGCCTCCCGCCGCGCGCCCGGCCCGCGGAGCCGCCTTCATTCCACCTGGAGAGTAGCGCGGAGAGCCGAGGCCCGACCGCCTGCACGCGCGCGGCTCATTTTAACTGTTGATTGCATCTTCAGTGAAGACTCACTCGTGTGTCCCTTCATATGTCTCATTTGTAATTGAGACTAATGATTACAGTGGGGTGGGAAGCAGCAGCTGCTCATTAGTTAATTTCTAATTAAAAGTGCCTCCCGTCCTCTGTGACTAAGGAGGAACACTGTTCGTCGGGGCGATATTGACTCCTCCGAGGAAATTCATTTGTTGACGCCCGTTGGCCCCTCCGACCCGCATGGCCGGCCTGTCCCCGCCCCGCCCCGCCAGGGCAGCGGCCAAGTGACCCGCACGTCTGCGGACAGGACGGGTGCGCGGCGGGGGTGACGTCAGAGCCTCCGGCGCTTAAAGCCAAGCAGAACTGACTTGACGGGTTCGCGCGACTCGTTTTTCTTTTTTTTCCTTTTTTGCAAAATATGTATTTGTGCTGCCGCTGCGAGGCGGGTCGGTCCCAGAGCCCCCTCGAGGCTCCGGATTGTGAAGCTAAAAGAATCGCTGCGGCCACCGCGGCTCACTGTCCTACCTGGTTAGAAAACTTTGCGGAGCGTGTGGATGCATTAACCGGCTCTTCTGCTTCGCCCTCCCAGCGCCTAGGAGCCGGCGGCCCCAGAGTAGTGGCCGCACCACGCCGGCCCCCGCGCGCAGGACTCCACCGGCCCCGCCCGCCGGCCCAGGGCCGCGCCCGCCATGTCCTACCCGCAGTTCGGGTATCCGTACTCCTCTGCACCCCAGGTAAGGGGGCCCCTCGAGCGTCTCGGAGAACGCGCCGGACAGAGAAGCGGGTGGGCTGTCCTGCGACCTGGTGTCGCTTCCCAGGGAGCAGGGCCTGTGCCACATGCCCCTCGCGCCCAGCCCCGGGGAAGGCACAGGCCCTCAGAAAACCCAACGGGCGGGGCTCCCATTTCCCGTTTTGTTTGACCCTCACCCTGGGCTCTAAGGCTGCACCCCAGGGGGCCCAGGGACCCGAGAGAGACGCGGCACAAGAGGGCGTGCGCGGCCTTGGAAACCCCCCCGGGAAGGGTGTGAACACTCCCGGGCCAGGATGGGCTGGGCCCCACGTGGCTGGAGGAGGCCAGGCCCGTGCAGGCCCCCCACGGAAAGGAACGCGAGGTCCCAAGGACATGCGGCACGCCTTCCTGGGCGGTGCGAGGGGCGGATGGAGGCCCAGGACCCAGCCTGGCGCGCGGGTGCTCCGCCCTTCCTCGCGGCCCCTCTCTCCCCCAGTTCCTGATGACCACCAACTCCCTGAGCACGTGCTGCGAATCGGGTGGCCGAACTCTGGCCGACTCCGGGCCGGCCGCTTCCCAGGCGCCCGTCTACTGCCCGGTCTACGAGAGCCGGCTGCTGGCCACCGCGCGCCACGAGCTCAACTCAGCCGCGGCGCTTGGCGTCTATGGGAGCCCCTACGGTGGTTCTCAGGGCTATGGCAACTACGTGACCTACGGCTCCGAGGCGTCCGCCTTCTACTCGCTGGTAAGGGGAGGGGGTGTCTGTCAAACCTTCCCACCGCACCACGCCCCTACCCCTCAATTTGCCAAACTCACTTTCCCCAACTCTGGAGGCAGGGGCGCTTGTCCCCTGGACCCTGGACTGTTGGGGGTGGGAGAAGCTTCCTGCAAGGTTTCGCCTCTTAGCCTGGTCCCTCTGAACACCACCAGCCCCCGGGGTTGGTGCAACCTGGCGGGTGGGCCGCCGTATTTAATGTACTTATTGTTCGGATCTCCGTTAAGTTCTGATGCCCCCGCCCCCACGTCTGGTTCTGTCCGGGCGTGCGCTCCCCTTCTCCCCTCCTACCGCCTCCTCCCGCCCACCTCGCTGCTCTCCCTTTTCCTCTCCTCCCACCCCCCATTTCCCCCCCCACCTTCCCTCCCCCTAGCCCTCCCTCCCTCCCTCGCCCTCCCATTTCTCCAGCTCCTCCCATTTCTCCCCTCCTTCCTCCCTCCCGTCCTCATTTCCCGCCCCTTGCTCACCCTCGGCTGTCCCCCAGCCTCGACCCTCTTCTCTCCCCTTTCCTCCCTGCATCCTCATCCTCCTCTCCCCTGTCTCCTATTCCCCTACACCCCTCCCCCTGAACTCCGTTCGTCCTCACTCCAAGTCTTGGGGCTCCTTGGCTAAGCCTGAGTCCGAGGGAGAGTCTGGGGACAGGGGTGGGGCCGGGGGCGGGTGTGGGGCTGCCAGGAGCTAGGAGGACTAGGGGAGTGCGCCAGCTGTGTCGCGTCCGGAAGCTGCGACCCCAGGCTCCTGGGTTTCTGCAGAACAGCTTTGACTCCAAGGACGGGGCAGGATCTGCGCATGCCGGCCTCGGGCCCGCCGCCGCCGCCTACTACCCGTACGAGCCAGCGCTGGGCCAGTACCCGTATGACAGGTGAGGGCCCGGCCCCTCTTCCCTGCCCTGCCAAGGGCCCCTCACCACCAGCCCCTGGCCCACTCTGAAAGGTTGGGCGGCAGGAGGAGGGGCATTCCTCAGGCCGGGCTGAGCTGACCTGGCTGGTCTCAGCCCCGCCTCCTGGCGAGCAGGTGGCCGCCTGGGGTTAAACGCGTCCCCAGTCTCCTGGCCCCGCGCGCCACACTGTCCGGACTCCCAAAGCCCTCGCTGCGCTGTGGTTTTCGGGGGAGTCACGTCTCCCTGCCCAGGCTTCAGACGCCTCCTCCCACCCCAAGATATGCAGCCTGTGTGGTGTGTGCCTGCTCACCCTGCCCACCGCCCCCTGCGATGGGAACCAGAGAAGAGTCCTTGCCCACTCGCAGACCGCACACCCCGTCTTCCGCGGGGCGACAATTACAAATTCAACCGCGGAAAGTACACGTAGGCCCTCTGGGCGCCTTCTCCCCGTGGGCGCTAATGACCATTTCTGCCCACGGGCGCTACATAGTTGAGTTCGCATCTCAGTGATATATTGTCCCGGTTTCTGGATCAAAAGGATAGGAGAGAGGCCAGATAAAGGAACTCCGAGGAAATATACCTGTGTAGAGTGACAGGGACTTGGCTCTGGCTCGCAAGCAGCCCTGGCTCGTGTAAGTTTAATCAAATATAAAGATTATCTTCGGCCTCCGGCCACTGAAGGCAGTGCCCGCGGGCAATGGCGCCGGGCTGGGCCTGGGTCCTTACCACCATACACACACCCCCACGACGGGGACCGAAGGCCCGCCTGGGCCTCGCCCTCGCCCGGCCATCGGCGGTGCCCGGTCGCGGCCGGCGCCCCATTGCCCAGCCTGTCTCCAGGTACGGGACCATGGACAGCGGCACGCGGCGGAAGAACGCCACGCGCGAGACCACCAGCACGCTCAAGGCCTGGCTGCAGGAGCACCGCAAGAACCCCTACCCCACCAAGGGCGAGAAGATCATGCTGGCCATCATCACCAAGATGACCCTCACGCAGGTCTCCACCTGGTTCGCCAACGCGCGCAGGCGCCTCAAGAAGGAGAACAAGATGACTTGGCCACCAAGGAACAAGTGCGCGGATGAGAAGCGGCCCTACGGGGAGGGCGAGGAGGAAGAGGGGGGCGAGGAGGAATCCCGGGAGGAGCCGGTCAAGAGCACCAAGAAGGAAGGTGGGTGGGAGTTGGTGATGCTGGGGCTGGGGCGCTAGGCTAGGCCTGGGCCTCCCCGTGAGTTCCCTGCTGCTCCTGGGACCTCTAGAGGCGTTGAACCAGGGGTAGTAAAAGCAGACCCTCAGGGGCCCAGGCAGCAAGTGAATGAACTGGCCCCAGGGAGGCCCTGTGCTGTGGGGGCCTGTGATGGTGAGCAGGAAGCATGCTTAAAGAAATCCAAAATCACGTGTCAAACATTAGACACCCCACCCCAACCCCACTGATTTGAGGCTGAAATCAGCTGGGCCCCTGTGTTGCCAGTTTGGGGACTGGGGGCCTCTGGAGGGGATGGGAGGTGGGAAAGACGGCTGCCTGGGTGCTTTCCCAGCTCGAGGGTGAGGCCCATAACCATGGGATCACAATTAGAAAGGAGATAGGGTTCTGATGAACCCGCTGTCCTCTCTCCCTCCACTCCCTCTTTTCTTCTGGGCAGAGCTGGTTGGCAAGGAGGAGAAGGATCTGGAGCTCAGCGATTTGGAGGACTTCCACTCACTTGAGGCAGAGCCCCCCGAGTGTGAGCTGAAACCACCCTTCCAGCCCCTGGACGGCAGCCTGGACCGAGTCCCCACTGCGCCCCATGGCCCCAGTGCCCTGGGAAAGGAGGCCTCCAGTGCCCTCCGGATGCCGCTGGCCACTGGTGGTGAGGCCTCCCTGGACCAGCACCTGGAGCGGGCCCGGAGCTGCCTCCGGAGCGCAGTGGCCGGGCCAGAACAGCAGCCGGGCCCGGGGGGCGGCCCGCAGGCCTGTGAGGCCAAGCTGGGCTTTGCGCCGGCTGGGCCCACCACGGCGGGCCTAGAGGCTAAGCCTCGCATCTGGTCCCTGGCGCATACGGCTACCGCCGCCGCCGCCACTGCCCTGAGCCAGACTGAGTTTCCGTCGTGCATGCTCAAGCGCCAAGGTCCTGCAGCCCCTGCCGCCGCCTCCTTGGCGCCTGCCTCGTCTTCGCCTGCGGCCCCGGCCCCCGCCAGTGCCCTGGACAGGAACCAGGACTCCCCAGTAACCAGTCTCAGAAACTGGGTGGACGGGGTCTTCCACGACCCCATCCTCAGGCACAGCACTTTGAACCAGGCCTGGGCCACCGCTAAGGGCGCCCTGCTGGACCCAGGGCCGCTGGGACGCTCGCTGGGGGCGAGCGCCAACGTGCTGACGATGCCCCTGGCGCGCGCCTTCCCTTCCGCCGCACCCCAGGACGCCTCCGCTGCCGCCGCCGCCAAGGAGCTGCTGGCCTTGCCCAAGGCCAGCAGCAAGCCCTTCTGCGCCTAACCCGGCCAGGGCGCCTGAGCAAGGAGGGAGCTGGCGCTCAGGCCGCATGCTCCTAGGTCGCAGACTCTTTCTCTACCGGGTTTCCAAAGCAAGGCATGAGCGCTGCAGAGCTCAGGCCACCAGCCACCCTAGAAGAAGCATCTGAACTCTGTCCTGGGCCACAGACGAGCCCCGGCACTGTTGGGCCACATCTGCCCATCCCACCTGGACATGAGCCGTCCCGGCCACTCCTCAAACTCGGGAGCCGGTGGATAAGGCTGCTCTCAAAGCAGAAGGGAGCCTCCCTGAAACATAAAGTTTACGTCCAAAAGTTTACATGGAGAAGACATTTCAGCCCTGGGACTGCTGTTTTGCTGTCCCCCTTTGGGTTTGGGCATGCCGGTGTTCGTGATGGAAACTCAGCCTGCTGCCCTTCCGACTTCATCCTCAGCACGTAATCCCCACCAACACACTTCCACCGAGTTTACACTATTGCACACTCCTAACTCGATAAAATTGTGTTTTTTTAAATGTATGTTCACACCAATAACTGCCTGCTTCAGAGGCTAATATAACAAAACCAATAAAACCAAGTGACGGTATTTGCATTTCATGGTGAACACATTTCAGATGCAGGGATTTGAGAATTCCAAAGAGGAAAGGTGCCGCCCCCAAGGGAAGGAGTGGGGAGGGGTCATTGACCCAGAAGCTCAGGTCCCAAGACCTCAAGTAAAGAAAGGCTTTTTTAAAAGAACAGTCAGAGTAAACCTTCAGATTCTGTTAAACTCCATGATAGAAACACTCAAAACTTTTAAACTCTCCCCCATTACCAGAGTCCAGGACTTCGAGAAAATAGGAGTTCTTTGGCTAAATTAAAATAACTTTTAAACTTTATAAATTCCTTGGGACTGTGTCTTGGCGGGGGGAGGGGGCGTGGGACATCACTGTCCAGAGGGAGCTCAGTTCTAGGCTGCCCTCTGCCCGTCCTTAGCGGGAGTGAGGGGGCCTTGAAGGCACTGCTCCTCTCCTAACTCCTCCTCCCCTCCCTCCTGGGCCCAGTCCTGGCGCAGTTAGCCTCCAACGCTGGGAAAGAAGAGGAGCCGAGGCTCCGGGAAAGGGAAGCGTCTAGTAGGCCGCAGACCAGAGGCGGGGCTGAGAGGAAAGGCCTGGGGTGGGGGCGGGAGGCCGCGGGCTGGTGCTGGGCAAGGCTTAGGGATGGAACCCGCAGAGCAACTGGGGAGTCGAGGGCCTTGCCCCGCCTAGCCGAGGTTCCCGCACGGTGCCTACCCCTGGCTTCGCTCAGAAACCCGGTCTCCCCACCCCCACCACCGCAGACCCCTGTTTGCTGGAGGCCAGCTGCTCTGATCTGAAGGAAAATCGCTGGTTCCCTCCCTATACTCGAATCTGCGCACCGCCCCCCCCCACCCCCGCAGGTCCCGCACGAGGGCCCCCGAGAGTGGCAGGCGAGCGCGGCGCGCACTGGACTCGGGCTCTCCCCTAGCCTGCAAGCCCTCTGCTTAAAGCCTTACTGGTGTCCAGAGGAAGGACGAATCGGCAAGCCAGCGGGCCTGCGAGAGTGGGGCGACCCGAGGGTGCAGCGACGAGGCGATGGGAGTTCTTGCCCGGGACGCGGACAGATTGACAGCCAGAGAGACGGCAGCTGGAGACGCAAGTCGTCTCTCGGGCCGGCAGACAACCTTCGAGGGACACGCGAGGCCGGGGTTTTATTCTGCGAGGGGCTGGGTGGGACCGGACTGGTGCCCTGTGGGGTCCCGGGGCCCCTGGCACAGGTCGTGGGAAGGCCGTAAGCGCTGGAAAGCGGGCCTGATCGGCCGGGGGGACCGGGCGTTGGGGCGAGTTTACTCGCGGGAGAGACGGAAACCCCGCGGCCCGGAGCCCCCGGTCGCCTGGGCTGCACGGGGCACCCCTGAGCAGTGGGACCCTGATGGCGGGACCTCGGCCAGGGTGGGACTCCGAGTGGTGGGACCTCAAACCCCAGACCTTGAGCGGAGGGAGCAGCCTGGACCCTGAGTGGCGGCCCCACCGCCGAGCCCGAGGCTTCAGGCCGGTGCGCGGTAATTGGATTGTATCCGCCCGCGCGCTGTCACCGTATTGACTTTCGCTCTCTTGGATGATATTATCGAGATTCGGAAGCTCGTCGCTGATGTGCCTGTCAAAAGGCTGCGGGGGAGCCCGCGGCCCGGAGAGCGCGCATCAGCCAAGATAATTTGAAGTGAAATTTTCATTTTGACAGTAAACCCCTCAATTTCTAAAGGCTCCGCGCTCCGAGAGCTCGCTGGCAGGGGGAGGCTTTGCAGAAAGCCCACGTCTTAGACTGAAAAGGGCAAAAGAACTCGAATTAGTTGTAATAGATAAAAGGGCAAAAATAAAGAGTCAAGGGTACTTGACAGTAATAGCGAAAGTGGAGTCTCGGGGGAGACGCAGCGGCCGAGGCTGGGGCACCAGGAATTTTAATGCGGCCGAGGGCGGCCGCCAAGCGCGCACACCGCAGCCCGAGACAAAGCCGGGCATTTCCAGCAAAAACAAGGCTTCGTGGACACCAGCGGCTCAGCTCGGCAGGAAGGGGCGGGGGAGGCAGAAACCCAGGCTCGGACCTCCGCCCGTGGCCCTGGCTGCAGGCTGCGAGTGGCTGCGCGCGGTGGCGCAGTTGGGCGGGCGCTGCGGGCCTGGCTGGTCTGACCTCCGACCCTGACCCCCGACCCCTGCCGGGGCGCTGGCCCAGAGGGCTCCCGCTGCCGCCCAGGCCTGCTGCCCTCGGGACCTCAGGCTCGGGCATCGTCCGCGGCGCGGGATTCCCGCCTGTCCCCGCGGCCCAGGCCGTCAGAATCCCACAGTGCAGGAGCCCCCAGATCTTGGTGGAACTGGCTGGCCGAAAGTGACTTGTTTGATCAAACTGCGAACTGTGTAAAATAAAGACATCAAGTGGGGAGGCGGAATCAGCTGCATTCCAGGGCAGCAAGACCCAAAAGGACGCCCCGGAAGCTGGGGGTATCACTTCGACCCACACCCCTTACCTTTGGGGGCACACTCTGGAAGGTTTGCCGCAGGCACCCTTACCCAGTCTTTGGCTGTCTTCACGGGGTGGGGGGTAGGCACATGCGCAAAGGGATGAGAACCGCCTAGGAGACGCATTTTAGGGGCCGACACTGGGGGGAAGGCTGTCATCCGCGGGGCGGAGGCCCCACTTCCCTCGCAGAGCGGCTGTCAGAGGGACTGGGGACAGGGAGCTGAGCCGCTCAGGCGTGGCCAATTCAGACACAGAGGAGGGGATGCTAAATTAACGGCGCTCTTTACATAGAGCCCAAATAAAACTGTAATCAGCGGCGCGTTACTTTTCATTAAGCGGGTCTGACAGCAGCATATCCAGACCCGACAGGGGACCAGGCACGGGAAATATACGGCTCCCGGCCCAGTCTAGGATAATTCCTTAAGCTCCATTAACAACTCTTAGCCGCAGGAAATGGGCTCTTGGAAAACGTCTCCAAATCTAAAAGCTTTATCGACCCTCAAACTGCCACTGAGGGTTCCATTTCTTTCCTTTTTCTTCCTTTTTTTTCCTTTTTAACTTAAGGAAGAGATGTCCAGCAAGGTAATAGAGTTTGACACAACACCTTCTCAACTAGCGAGAGAGGTAGGGAAGCCAGTCCTTAAATGATATTTAAAAGGCAACCAGTTAAGATTTAAAGTGGTCGTCTCCTGAGGTTATGCGTGTGGTTTACGCCTCCTGCTTTCCCTGGGCGTGCCTGCCGGCTGAGCCCTCCTCCTTCTCTCTCTCCCTCTCTCTCTTCCCTCCTACCCATCGCTCCCTTTCTCGATGTGTCCCTCATCTCTCTCCACTCTCTGTCTCTTTCTCGGTCTCTGTCTCTGTCTCTCTCCATAAAGAGAATAACAGGATAGAGAGGAGCAGCAACACCACCGGCTCCATTCCTTCCCAGTGGGAGGTTCCTGTGGGCTGTCAACTGGAAGCAGCAAGCTGCCTCCTAAGGCAGATAATAGCGGACTAAGGGGTACTGAGGCTGGCCCCTCTTGCAGACACATCTAGCTGGTCATGTGGTATCCTTGGTGGCCCGGGGTGGCCTCTTTAATGGGGTGCGGGTGCCCAGGCTGTAAGGTCAGCCTGGCTCACAGTGGGCAGGTCTCCAACAAGAGGACAGCCCAGGTCTGGTCTGGGCAGGGGGGTGGTGGCAGTTAATATCAGGGGAGAAGCTGCACACCACCCTCAAACCACAGCCTTCGACTGCTGGTACAACAGGGGCAAAGGGATTTCCCCCTTGCCCAGCACTGCTGTCTTCTCTACAAATGGCTCCAGGAAGATGCCATCTCCTTGGCGCAGCTCTATGAAAGCCCTTCATCTGGGATCCACCTGTCCCTCGGTCACTTCCCTCACAGTGGTGCTGGCTGGGGCATTTATTCCCACTGGTGCCACTAAGTTGAAGAGGCTGGAAAGCCCCTTACGCAAGGTCACATCACTGGAAGGCAGCAAAGCCCAGGGAAGGAAGCACCATGACCTTTAGATTTGACCCCGGTCTCAGGACCTGTAGGAAGGGAACAGAATAATGGGGCCCTGGAGGGAGAGGATGCAGGGGGAAGGAGCAGAGGAATGGGAGGGGAAGAGAGGAAAAAGAGGGGAGGGGAGACATGAGGGGGAGGAGAGGAGAGGAAAGAGAGGAGAGGGGAGGAGAGAAGAGTGGGGACAGGAGGAAGAAGAGAGGAGGGGAGGGGGCAGGATGAGAGGAGAGGAGAGAGAGGAGAGGAAGAAGAGGGGAGGGGAGAGAGGCGGGGGAGAGGAGGGGAGGAGCCGAGAGAGAAGAGGGGAGAGGAGAAAGAGCAGGAGAGAGGAGGGGGAGAGGGAAACCTAGTGGAGGAGGGGAAGGGAACTGCCTTCCAACGTGTCTTATGAAGAAATACTTGTGAAAACAAATGCCTTTTCCCAAGAGGACTCTGGCTCTTGGGGTGAAGGAGGAGGTGTATGTGAAGCCCTGGACCAGACAGGCCCCCTGCACATTCACCTGAGGGGACCTTGAGCCCACAGCTTCTCCACTCTCTGTCAGGGAAGGAGGGATGGAAGTCTCTCAGAAGGCTCTCAGACAAGCCCACTCTGGACACTAAGAGGCAGGAGTCCCCTCTCATCAGCCAGGGGACAGGGAAGG